GCCCTTCAGCCCCATGGGCCCCCCCTCAGCCCCCTCTGCTCTGCTGGCCCTTTTGCCCCTCAGCGCTTCTGGCCCCCAGTCTTTCTGCCCCTCAGCACCCCCAGCCCTTCTGCTCCCCATCTCCCTCCAAAACCACACAACTCTTCAGCCGAGGGAGCAGGCACCCTGTTTGCAGGCGGTCGCTGACTGATTCCACAGGCCTGGTGTTCTGCCCATGCCTTGGGTTTATCCTTGGCACTGCCATTTGCACAGGAAAATTACTGGAAAAATGCAACAATAACTATTTCCTGCCATCTGTTTGCCAACCAGCTTACTTCTGGCCGTTGCTGGCAGATTTCCATCAGGTTTGTTACTGTTAGCTCTGAAAAAAACATCTGTAGAAAGAGGGTTGGCTACATATACATCTGAAAAGCATTATGGCAGTAGAAGCCTGAGTGGCAATACCTGAAGAATTTTGTTGGCAAGTATGTGTTTGTGTTTGCAGTGCCTCAACATGTGTGGCGGATAAATTTGGATACTCCGGAGGAAGCTCATCAAAACCTCTCTTTCGGCGCTGCGGATCGCTGGTGGGAGCAAACGGATCTGACCAAGCTGATACTGGCCTCGAACAAACTGCAGGCTCTGTCAGAGGATGTCACACTCCTGCCTGCGCTCACTGTCCTGGATGTGAGTACAAGGATCCACTTGGGGTAGGATTCTACTGTCCTCTTAGCAGGTGGGAATATGTGGTCTTAGGTCTTTGTTTTCCATTTCCCCATGGTGGTGGGCATGTAGATGCGATACTGGTGAGTTCTTAGAGTAAAGAAAAGATACTCAGAATCGCTCTGATCCATTTATATATATGCTGGCAGTGAGTGTTGTTCTGTAGAAAGATGTAGGAAGTTTTATTATGGATGCTGAAGGAAGAGTTACTGCTGGATGCAAGCACTTTTCCTGCACTCCCCCACTTCATATCTAATTTCATGGCATTTACTGTCAATTAAGTGGAATTTTACAGTGCTGTTACTGCTAATTACTTTGAGCCATGTACGTAGCTGTGTTTATGTATGAAATTATTCTGTGTATTAGGTTAGCTTGAGTTGTTTCCATGGTAGGGAAATAAAACCTACAAGGTACAAATTAGTAACTGTACTCAAAAAACCTTTATTTTCCAGGTGCATGACAATCAACTGACATATCTTCCTTCTGCTTTAGGACAATTAGAAAATCTTCAGAAACTTGATGTGAGGTAAGTACACGTTACAAAACTGGAACATGAGATATATTGCAGTGACTTTCATGGTGTGAAGAAGAGATTGCAGTATAGCAAATTTTCTTTTAGAATATTAAATTCGTATTTTTTAACTAGAGACAATTAGGATATTGAGGATTGTAAGTTTGTGATCAAAACTGATGAGCTTAGGTTAAATTTATTTTTGCTGGTATTCAGAAGTCAGTCTTGCATGGAAGGTGAAAACAGATATTCTGAATAGTTACGTAAAAGCAGTATCTACATTCATTTGCTTCAGTCTGGCAGTTTCGAGTATAAAACCACTTTTTATCATTAGAAATAATTTTATAGGTCTCGTTAATGCTGGGAAGTTTGTAATCTTCCTTTTACTGGAGTAGCTATAAATTTTTGCACAAGGAGGGTGTGCTGCCACTGTGTATGTGAATTACATAAACAAAAAAAAAAATTAAGATCCAGCTTGAATATTATAAAATCAGATGAGGATTGCAAGTACTCTTGAACAAATAAAAAAACAGTGACTTTCTCCCTGGAAACTAACCTGTTGTAGAGAGCCGTAGGAAACAGACTTTTCTTAGAGGTATCCTAAGCACCAGTGTACCACAAGTGTTCTGTGTGCAGTTATTAAAACTTTGCTGATTATTTTTTTTCCTTTGTGTTCCATGTTTTAATTCTAGCCACAACAAACTGCGAAGTATCCCAGAAGAGCTGATACAGTTAACACATTTGAAGAGCCTGCTCCTTCATCACAACGAGCTGAGTCACTTGCCGAATGGATTTGGACAGCTTGTCAACTTAGAAGAATTAGTAAATGGCAGCTTTTTGAAAAATATGTGTTTGTGCAGAAGGGCTGAATTACTTGTGGTTTGCTACCACTAGTTAAAAAAAAACCCCATAGCTTAGATGGCAGAGCTTTGTGGATGTTCTAGTGACTTATGTAGGTTCTCAGTTATTACGTGGTGGGTGGTTGGGTTTGGTTATTTTTTTTTTTTTAGTTTGAAACCACGTTTTGCTCTGGTTTTGTCAAAGATTTTAAGGAAAATCGAATCCCTTGAGACCTGTCAGTCGCGGGAGGCTTGTTTCTTGTATTCACATTTCTACCAGGCTGATCCTGAAGGTGTCAGCCATCTAATTTTAATGTTCTGCCTGTAATTAATTTTGCAGTAGCAGTACTCGTGGGATATTTTAGACGTCTCTGTTTCTAACCTCTCTCTTCCTCTCTCTTTAAAAAAAAAATCTTCAGGATCTGTCCAACAACCGGCTCACAGACATCCCAACGAGTTTTGCCTTGCTCGTTAACTTAGTGCGACTCAATTTGGCTTCTAATCAGCTCAAGGACCTGCCTGCAGAGATCAGTGCCATGAAAAGTAAATGAGTCTCCTCAGATTATTAAATACCATACAGCCAGTTTGGGAGTTACATTCTGAAATGCAGCGCATGTTGTTCAGGATTTTAAAATACATATTCTCAGAGAGTTCATGTATTCTCAAGAATATTAGTTCAGAATTATTTTAAAAAATCGGCCGCAGCTACTGCTTATCAACCTTGAGTCCTCTTAGGGTTTGTGTTTCTTGAGAAATGGGGTGGTCAGAAAAGTGTAAGGATTAATATTGTCCTGCTTAGGGGTCATTAGCCTTAATGTTGCAATAAGCAATTAGACTTTTTTCCTTTTTTTGTGTATTTTGAGTGAAAAATAAAGCATGATCATTGAAATTATGGGACAGGAAGACGCTAACCTGTTTGTTTTCTTCCAGAATTCTGTTCAGCAAAATGCTGTCATGCTTATTTTAAGAACCAGTATATTTATGCTTCTGTAGAAAACTGTTTCTATTTTCTGGCCTTCTGATTGTTGTCACACGCTTTCTTCTGTAGGCTTAAGACAGCTGGATTGTAATAAAAACTACCTGGAAACGGTACCTTCTAAATTAGCAACCATGGCATCTTTGGAGCAACTTTATCTGAGAAAAAATAAATTGCATTCCTTACCAGAATTTCCCTCGTGCAAATTACTGAAGGTAAGGTTTGACATGGCTGCTTTGCTGTAAACCTGTAAGGCTTTTAAAATAGTGACTGTTAAATGTAAACTTTCGTGAAGTGCTGTGACCAAAAGCTGGCAGTTCTAGTTTTGGAATACACCCCCATTTGTAATTGCTTTTGCTGTCCACGTTGGTCAGTCTTAAAGTCATTTGGGAGAAAAATTTGCAGCAGTACTCTTCAGATTTGGGAAAAAAAATTACTTAGAAGGGTAAATGACTGAAAAACTGCATTTAGTGTTATCTGCAACAATTATTTTTTATTTCTAGGAACATTTTCTGGATAATTTACTTTTTCTCTACAGTTACAAAGGAAAAAATCTTTTTTTTTTTCCCTTCCTTTTAGCATAATCAAATTTTCCACCTGTTTTGTAGCCTTAATTCTCAGTATATTTAAAATTGAAAATTAGCCATCTTGGAACATCAGAAATTTGTTAATTAATAGAAAATTGCTTGGACCAGGTGAATGCCCATATACTGTTTTGTTGTTTCCAACTACCAAGTCCATCCAAGAACACAGATACTTTACCTCTGTGTAACTCAGCAATTAAACCCCCCAACTATGTTAGCTTTTGTAATAAAATTTGCATTAGTATTTGAAGTTCGGTTCTTCCATTATAGATGAAGCATTTCCAATAGGGAAATGCTTCCTATAACTTGGAATTTAAGAAACTTCTTGAGTAAGGATGCCATCAATAAGTTCAAAGTGAAGCAAATTTATTCGGAGCTTGGAGAAGGAGCTCAGAGCTGAGGGTTGGTTTGAGAAAACCTACGTTCAGACTCATGTCTCTGAAACTTGTTTCCGCAGGAATTGCACGCTGGTGAAAATCAGATCGAAATACTAAATGCTGAGAATCTGAAGCATCTGAATTCCCTCTCTGTGTTGGAACTTAGAGACAACAAGATCAAATCGGTTCCGGATGAAATTGCCCTGCTTCAGAAGCTGGAGCGACTCGACCTCGCCAACAATGATATCAGTAGGTAATGTTAGAAACCGCCTGCCGTCCCCGATGCGGCACAGCTCCTCACAGCTCTACTGACAACTCATTCTGTAGCTGATACGTTCCACTTTGTAAAATGTAATTGAAAAAGGCCTTGGTCGTAAAATGAAGGAGCCATTTCTATGTCTATGTCATTGCCGTGATCCAGCTGTGCCTTTGTTAAATGTTACATATTCTGCGTCTTGAATCCAAGCTTTGGGGTACCAAACCATCCAACAAACCATTGCGAACTCTTTAGAAATTGTCCTGGAGCTGCTTTGACACAAGCTGTTCCCATCCACAGGTTGCCTTACACATTGGGGAACCTTCCACAGCTGAAGTTCCTGGCATTGGAGGGAAATCCTTTGAGGACCATTCGAAGAGACCTTCTGCAAGTAAGCTCTGCAGGCAGCAAATCGCGTTCAACTGTTGCGTGCGTGTTACCCAAATTGTGTAGCCAGAGCATTCAATAGAACTAGTGCCACTATAGAATTCCCTGTTATTTGTTTTTCCCTGGCAGGCCCCTCTTCTCGCTGGTGGTAGACATGACTTCTTTCTGTGCTTTGGCCAGTGTTATAAAATAAATATTTACAAAGCGTGGAGATGCTATAAAAATAAGCAACACTGAAGACTCTTGAAATGGAATTTTGTAGCATCTGTCAAAAGAGGGAAAATCTTGTGTATCTGGTTAAGTGAGCGTTGTGTGCACTAAGGTACTCCTCAGTGGATGGAAGTTGCAGGTGGTTCCAGAGTTCAAAGTCCACTTAAAATATCTTAAAATGCAGGAGTCTGTGTTGGGGTTGCCTGGTCACTGTAGCTCTGGCATTCCCTAGCTTCTGAGCATTTGCTGTCTTTCAAATGTAAGAGCACAGACGTGGGTAATTTCTTGTGTGTATTTCAAATCTGTAGGAAATGACAGGTATAATGATTCCGTTACGATAGTTTAGACTTAGACTGTCTTGATCCATTACCAATGCTGTAAATTGATGTAGCTGGAATTTATATGCCTGTCTCGGTTCTTCTCACGTCCATCCCTGCTCTGTCTCATCTCTTCCTGTGTGTCAGGCCTGGACTCCGAAACCCATCCTTGTTTCTTGATGAATTTCCAGTCAATTTCTGTTAAATCCGAGTCTTTCTTGTTTTAGGAACATACCGTCACGTGTGTTGAGCTTTTCTTATTGTCTACTCTCTGTGGGGCTGTTACTCAGCTTTCTGCTTGACCTTCACCTTTTCCTTCAAAGTTTCCAGGTTCTCTCCACACCTGACTGTGGCTGCAGTCAGTCCCATTCTCCTGCCCTAGCCCCTCTTCCTCACTCTTCTGTCTTCTCTTTCTGACATCTCACCAGATGCCTTCCTTTCCGACTTCCACGGAATGAGATTGTGCTTCATTGCTTGTGGATTATGCAGACAGTAACTGTGTCTGAGCAGTGGAAGTTGCTATGAGGGGATTGAAAGTTCAGTCTTTGGAGGACTGAGCTGTTAAAAATCCATGCAAATTATGTAAACTGCAGTGTTTTTCCCAGAATTTACAATTTTGGACATAAAAAGTTCCCTGAACACTGAGCAGTCAGTTTCCTTGACAAATTTTAAATGTCTTCAGCAGAGCATAATTGTGCTGGACCTTTTCAAAGAGATTAAGTCTGTGTGAGCATTTATACTTGCTCCTGGAGCTTCTGATAAAAAGCTAAAAATTGGAGCCTGAGGAAGCAAGAAAGGATGGAGAATTTTCAGCTGGAATAAATAAACAAAATCACAGATAAGAGTCTGTAAGCTGCTGTGAACAGGATTTTTGCTCTGGGAAGCACTGAGTGGATTTTGCAGCCAGCAGAGCTGTGGGCTCCACCTGCCTCACTAGCGTTGTTCTTCATTCTCAAAAGAGCTGTGCAAGCACTGCCTGGCCAATGCTTACTGACTTGTGTGTTTGTTTGTTTGTTTGTTTGTTTAAAGAAAGGCACCCAGGAACTTCTGAAATACCTGAGAAGCAGAATCCAAGGTATGTTGCTCTATTGCATTGTGGCTTAAAGAAATTAAAGTGAAATTAAAGTGAATTAGGCCCTGTGGAGGGTAGCTGTTTAAAACCAGGTTCCTTCAGTTGTCCTGCAGTAACACGGTGTTCTTTACTCAACAGTTTGCTCTTCTATTTCAGTGCGCTTTTTTATTTTATTCTTGTTCTTTTAGATCATAGTGAATAACAAACGTTCATTGTTGAGGGTTATAATTTAGAAAAATAATCTGAAGTATTTTTCCCCTGGTCCCTTTATGCGTTTTACGTGCGGAATTCCGGTAGCTTTTTTAATTTTTCCTCTGAACATTGTGGGAATTGGTTGTGAGGGATTCCTCTTTTTAAGCGTGCTGTCCCTCTGCTGGCTGGGTCACGATGCCATCACCAGAAGTTGGTGATATTTTGCATGGGAGCGATGGATTAATTCCCATAATCACATGGGCACTGCAGTCCCCTGATTCCCAGAAAGTCTATGCATGAAAAAGGCTGCCTTAAAATCTTGATGATGCCATCAAGTCTGCTTCATAGCTGACTTAAGAATATAAAAAGTTTTGGGAGAGAAAGCAAGTGGTTGTTTTGAAACATCACTCTAATCCTGGCCTGTCGGAGTTCATGTTTCTACTATCCAGTAGTCTCAAATGCACTGCTCCCGAGAGAAATAATTGAAAAGTGATCAAGCAGAAAATGAGGTGAAGGATTTCAAGGGGGTTACTTCTCTGTGCAAATGATCTGTGGTTTCTGCAGAATTTTCTCTTGGATTCAGAGCCCTGCCTCTGGATTAAAATGCACCTACATGGTTCTGTATCACACGTTTCTGACAGGTGCGGTACTCTCTAAAAATGAGCTGTTAGTATTAAGAAAACAGACAAAAATGGTGCTGATTGCTCCTGCACACTCAAATCACTTTCCAGATTGATACCTGGGCTCCTACTTCACTGAGATACTTTGGCATCTGGGTTTTTTTTTCTCTTTTTGTTCTGCGTTTTTTTATTCCGTAGGAACAGGCTGTCAGAGTCTTTAACTTGTATGCTCAGAAGACAAAGTCCTTTCAGAACAGGACTTCAGTTTGCCATCTTTAGAAATCCTCGTCTTTCTTAAGTCTCAAAACGTAAAGTAGGCAAAGTGACTGAATTCAACGGCCTCATTAAATGTAACACAGAAATTATGCTGCCTTTAAATGGCAAAAATGCTTAACCTCTTAATTTAGAAGGGGCCTGGATGATACATGCAAGCAACTTTTATTGAAAATTGTTCTGCCTGAGTTTTCCTTTCTGCTGAGCGGGTTTTCTCCCTGCCTGCCAGAGGATGGCAGCATTAGTTAGGTTACTGCAGCATACAGGATTACTTCAAAACGTCAGGTTCCCTGCAAGTCTGACACGTTATTAACTTGCCAAAAAATAATTGGTCGCTAGAGTACATACTCAGAAGCTTATCTGGTGAACTATAATAGATAATAAAATTGCGGTAATAAAATTAGCCAATGTCTTGCATGTACAGCAGTGCTGCTGATTTTACTCTGCCGGTTCAGACTCTAAAGTTGGAGCTAAAACCAGGAGTAGCTCTGTTTCTGTAGAGCTTTAAACTGGGGAAAGGCCTGTTCTTTTAGCTTGTTTTTGACCTTTTTGGATGACAGGCTAACTCCTTGAGGTTGGGTCCAGTTGTTAGTAGGCTTTTATTTGTAAACACTGCAAATTTCCATGGGCTTCTGTTCGATTTCTTGTAGCAGAAGCTGGATTTCTCACACGTTTGTTTGGACTCCCTGCTCAGCTTTGCCCTGGTTACGCATGTGCGAGTTGTCTGGGTGTGATGCCACAGCTTTGACATGCAGAATGGTGCTGCCCACCCACCTTTCTTAAAAAAAATCAGAGTAGCCTTGCAACACCCATGGCGTTTTCGTGTGGGTTGTAGGGAGTGATCAAAAGGAACTCTGCAGAGGAGGCTGTGACAAAGGCTTATAAATATTAATGTGCTAATTAAAATAATGATCACATTTCTGGGTATAGGTGACGCAGCTCATCCCTTGTAGCTGGAATTCCCTGTTATTTGTGGTTTCTGGCTCCCCACCCCTCTCAGAGGCTGCTGTCTAGTGCAACAGCTAGTCTCAGCTGCCTCCTGAGTTGTTTTTTCAAAATCCCTCCCCTCCATTCAGCCTAAAAACAATCAACTCGGAAACCTAAGACTGCAAAAAACCTTTGCTAGAAAATTCTTAAAATAATTGCCATTCAGATTGTATCCAGTTGAGCCAAAATATAGTAAGAGTTACCGGGAGGGTGGCAAATGTCCAAGGACGTCGAGCCTCTCGCTCTGGGCAGTTGGGAGCAGCCTCTCCAGCTAGAGCCCGGGTGACTGTGCGTGTTTCTTATCTCTAGATGAAGTACGGAACCCGAACGAAGAGCCTCCCGTGACAGCCATGACCCTTCCAAGCGAATCAAGGATTAACATGCACGCCATAACTTCCCTGAAATTACTGGAATACAGGTTTGTGTTTTTGAAGTACTACCTAGTTGTAAAGAATGCTCCTCTAATTTTAATTATTTTTTCCCTTTGTGATATATATTGATCCATCTGCAAATTGGATTTTTTCGCTTGAATTTTTCTGCTTGGGAATAGGCAGTTTTGAATTTCAGGGTTTACAAAATTATTTCTTCGTTTTATCAAATATTGCACAGTAGCAATCCTTTAACCTCGCTGAAACGCATGACGCCATCAGGTGCTTTTAGTACCTTTTAAACTTCTTTAGCAATTCTCTTGAAGTCTCAGAACGTCTTGTAGTAGGCAAGGATCTCTTCAGTTATTTCTTAAACGTAGCTATGTTAGATTGGGAAAGGAGAAGCTGGGCATGTTTGCTGAGAGCTGCTGTGTGAGACGCTGGTCCTGCTGCGAGCTGGAGTGTGGAGAGGACCTCACCGCGGTACAGGGGTTGGAGTGGCTTTGGTCACTATCAGTGTTCAGGAGCTCCACATTGAGTACCTGCCTGAGTTACACGTGACTGAGCTCGGGATGTTTCCTGAGCTGAGAGGGGGAAATCTGTGTAATGAAATTCTCTTTTTTCCTAAGTGACAAACGATAGGATGAGAGGAAATGGGCTCAAGTTGCGCCAGGGGAGGTTTAGATTGGACATGAGGAAAAACTTCTTTACTGGAAGAGCAATTTCTTCCTGAAAAGGGTTGTGAAGCCCTGGCACAGGCTGCCCAGGGCAGGGATGGAGTCACCATCCCTGGGGGGGTTCAAAAACTGTGCAGACATGGCACTTGGGGTCCTGGTTTAGTGGTCATGGAAGTGTTGGGTTGACGATTGGGCTTGCTGATCTTAGAGCTCTTTTCCAACCTCAGTGATTATGTGATTCCATGATTCCTGGCCCAATACCTTTGTTGCGGCAGTGACATAGCTCAGCTCTTACTGATGCTTCTTCTGCTCAGGGTGCCCGTGTGAAATGTCGTTGCATGGGTGCCATGTAACATGGTGCTGTACCGGGCAGTGTTCTGACCAACAGCCCTTCCAGGACCAAAAATAGCAGATAGTCACATATCTATACCCTCGTCTTTTTCTAAAAGAAGATGAAAACAATATGCTAACCAGTAGGAAACAACTGGTTCGTGTTACTGTGCTAAATACTTTTCTTTGTTCAGTGAGAAGCAGGCGGCTGCGATTCCTGACGAGATGTTTGATGCTGTCAGGAGCCATCCTGTCGCCACTGTCAACTTCAGCAAAAACCAGCTGAGCGCAGTTCCCCCGAGGTACTCATCTAAAGCTTGTGCTCTGGTTGTCGCTTCCCATTCTGCTTCTGTTCTCCAGCATTTTGTGGTTTTCCTCATCAAGTATATTTACACTTCTATGCTGTGTATGTGTTTGTAAAAGTGTAATTGAGATGCTGGATGATGCTCTCGCGTTTCTGGCGCGCGGAGCGTGCCCGTGGGGCTGCTGCCGAGCACGGAGCTGGCGGTCGGAAGCATCTCGGCCCTGCTCCAGGCGTGTTGGGCTTCATCTGGATTCACTGAAATGAGTGAGTGGAGCCCGATGTGGCTTCTCGTAATAATGAAGTGCTGTACTTCACTCCAGCCTGGGACTGTTTTCTCTACAAAGCGGCCTTTTTTTTCCCCCAGACAAAGATGATCTGTGGGGATTCACCACTGCAGCGGGTGATAACTTGGTCCTGGAGCTGAGGCTGTATTTAAATTCCGTTTCTTCAGACAGCGTAATTGTTTTACTTGTTGTTGGTTTTTTTTCAGTTTTTTTAAGGAGGCCTGAATAATTCCCACACCTTTTTTCTTGATTGGTTTTGTGTCCATCACGTAGCATTTGATATTATTGCACTTGTTACGTCATCCTCAGTCAGGGAGAAGCTTTTTTTTGACACTAATGGGAATAGATGGGCTTTTAGTAAGGAGGAATCTTACCCAAGGAAATGGTGAAAGCTGATTTTTTAAGGATACCACCACATTTGTGAGGGCAACTTATTCTTGGACCCGAATGTGCTGAACATTTAACCTTTAACACAGAGAACTTGATGAGGCGCCATCTCGAAGGAAAACATCTCCATTCAGTAGAGTTTCTAGAAAATCAATGCAGTGAGATAATGCCTGTGCCGGAGGCTGCTGCACTTGCTAAGGGTGGGTGTAGGTGTGCAGCTGCTCTGTGCCAGAGAATTTGGTGACAATCCAGAGAGGTTAGGTGAGTGTTTTTCCGTTGAATTACCTTTTAGTTTTAGGGCTGAAACAGAGACTCTGTGAGCAGGATTCAGCAGCTTAACTTTTGAAGCCGTTAAACATTTTACACCAAAGCACCCTTTGAGAGGAGGCAGCTCTGTTCCTGGAATTTGTAATAGCAGAGCAGTGGAACAGAGACAAAAGGTAGAAATTAATTGAATGATCTCTTTCGGTTTGTTTGACTGCTGAGGAAGAGGTATTCAAAATTTTACAGGAGATGGCAGTGAAGCCATCCATGCTGTAGTTTTGGAAACACCTCTTAACTGCATTTGAGTGAGTAGGCTTTTGTAGGGAAAATCTGTGAGAGAAAATTCACTCTCCTAATAACTTTAAATAAGTGGTTCTGAGCTTTGTTTTTAAGGGTCCAGGACAGGCAGCTTTCACAGGTGATGTTTCCATTATCTTCACAAAACTGCTTCTGAAATGTCAAGAAATGGAGTGTCCTTAATTCACAGAATAAAGCAGATTTGGTTTGGGATTTTTTTTATTTTTTTTTTCAGTAACTTAGAATGCAAACACGAGCTTACATAATAAAAGTATCTTCATGTTGGGTTTCAGGATTGTGGAGCTAAAAGACGCGGTTTGTGATGTCAGCCTTGCCTTCAATAAAATCTCGTCCATCTCCTTGGAGCTCTGCATGCTCCATAAATTGACACATTTGGATATCAGGTTTGTGACGTGCGTTGGACTTCCTTTCTGGGCAACTTATTTTCATGCCTTTTTAAACCAGCCATCTGCTCCAGTGGAATAGCAGCGCTGAAATAATTTTTCATTTCCCAAAATGCCTCTATGGCAGTTGAGTGACCGGCAGATCTGAAATAGCAAGCGGCCTAGATTTAGCCGTCGGTTAAAGAAAAAACAGAAAAGCCAAGCGGATGAGCTCCAGGACATGCTGTGAGGAAAGGTCTTGCCTCAGCCAGAAATAGAGTCTCGGAGATGTTGTTGGTTAAAAACACTCCCCACACCCCACCAAAGAAACCCATGCCAGAAAATCCGGGAGGGTAGCTGGGAGCGTACAGCAGAGGCACAAATCCCGTTGTGCTTCCTGTAAGTGCTGTACTTGTGATAGTTACTGTCATTTTACCTTCTCTAACTCCTGAAAATTGCTCGTTGTTGTGCGTGTTGGGATGCCAGGGTTAAGCTCACCGGTGGTTGTTACCGTGGGGGTCTCGCAAATGAAAAGGAGCAAAGCACAGCTGCAGGGAGTGGTTTGGACTTTTGGCTTGAGATGCCTGCCAGCCTGGGTCCATCGGTGACACATTGACAGCCGTGCTGCTGGCTGGGCAGCATGGCTGAAGGTCGCAGAAACAGATAATGACTGATGAGGGAACGAGGGTGACTATCTCGGTGATTAAGAACTGAGGTCTAAGCCTGGGCATCTTTTGGTGACTTGTCTCGGTTTTTCTGTGGTGGCTTTTTGTGTCACTACAACCCCGTGTCCTCGTGTTTAAGAAGCTTCTGAGCAGGTTCGTGCTGCAGGAACAGCCATGGGTGGCTTTCTTATGGCTAGATGGATTTTGAAGAGCTTGAGAATTCTCCTGCTGCTTCACTTTGGCACCAAGATCTGGGCAGTTTCCTGTAGCTTTTTTTTCCCTCTGAGATCCAAGGTGCTGAATCGCCAGGTGGGTTTGTGGAGCTGTGAGATGTTTGAACTGCTCTTGAATCTGTAGAGGACAGGCTCTATATCTTCCACTGGCAGGAAGGAGAATGCAGATCTGGCTCACATCTGGGGTCTTGACCCATCTCTGAAGCAATTAATTGGTGTAAGACAGCGTGTTGGCAGCGATAAATGTGCAAATCTTATGTCTGCGGATTCTTAACTGAGACTTCATAAAAGCTAGTGATTATTGTTTGTCTTCATTTGATACACAGAAATAATTTTTTGACGTCTCTGCCTGAGGAAATGGAGGCACTGAAAAGACTGCAGATAATAAATCTGTCTTTTAATAGGTGAGCAACTGTTCAGACTTTTATCTTAATACAATAATTAAAAGAACTGGGATGAGTTCAGTAAGATTTTCCAGTGATGTGAGAAGGAGGAGGCCCTTGATAAGCCTCACACTGATGACATGAATGCGTCTCTTTGCACGGTGGGTGGGGTGGGTTTTTGAACTTTCTGCTACAGAAATTTTGGAGAGGGGCAGCAGTAGCAGCTGGTTAAAAAAAAAGATAAAACAGGCTTGAGAACAATACATCCAAAAATGGATACTGACAGGACTGCCTTCTGGCATCCATAATAACAGCAGTGCTGGGTGGTGGAATAATTTGGGGAGGGCTGGGTGGGAAGCAGCTCCCTTCAGCTTTTTCACTGCATGCGAAGTAAGGCGGTGGCTGCTTTCTCCTTTCAGAGCACCACGGTTAAACATTGACCTTAAAGAAATCTAAAATGTTTTCTGATTTTTAAAGGCTTCTTATTACCTGAACGCCCTATGTGGCTTTGCCTCCTTTTTCTCCCGGCAGATTTAAAGCATTTCCCAGCGTCCTTTATCGCATCCTCACGCTGGAGACCATCCTGCTCGGCAACAACCAGGTGGGGACCATCGACCCTCTGCACCTGAGGAGGATGGACAAACTCGGAACGCTGGACCTGCAGAACAACGACCTCCTCCATGTGCCACCGGAACTCGGCAACTGTGAAACTCTGAGGTGGGCGGTGCAAAGCGGTGACCTGTTTTACAAAAATATAACCCGACTGATTTCTTCTGTTGTCAAAAAAAAAAATGCAGATGGGCGGTGTGGGCTTTGGGAGGTCTCGATGTGCACAGAGGGTCTCTCTTACCACTTGTAAAACCGGTTGGTCCCTGTAGTTTTCCCCTGTGAGGACACTTGCCAGAGGGACTTCAAAGAAAATCCCAAAATAAAAGGCTGCCACCACAAGGAAAAACCTCCACAGGGATTTGTGTGTTGCAGCAGGCTGGTGGCTCAGCTACGCAGCAGAGAGTCATAATTTAACATAATTTTTCCCTTTAATGGTATCATTTCTCTACTTCTGAAGTTCTCCTCACTGTTTCTTCTGCCAGAGGCTTGAACAAATAGGGTACATGAGTGTTGTGTGGCTACAATAATAGCATCACAGAATGCCTTAGGTTGGAAGGGACCT